CTGACTCCCTGATGTCCCTGCTCCTGGCAGGGAGTGTGACAGGGTGGGACACCCTGAAGAGCATGCTGCTGTGCCACCTCCCTTGGCCTCAGGCTTGAAGGCACTGATTTCAGGGTGCATCCCATTTCCCAGCCATGCTACCCATATCCTGCCTCTCTCCAAGGGGACAGCAGCAGCCAAATGCATCTCCCAGTGCTCTGAAGAGCAGCATGAAACCAGCAAAGGTGGAGATGCTACTGCTGACAGACCCACTCCCTCTCTATTAGGTAAAAGCCTTCTAGGAAGGACCAACCTCCTCTGCAAAGAGCAGGCAGCTGGGATGTTGCAGTTAGAGCTTTAGATTAATGATTAATGACTCCATCTGAGATGCTTTTCCTATCTATCACTGCCAAGTGCTGATACTTCCTTCTGTCTCCAGTGGCAGCCTTGTGGATATGAGTGATTTGGAGAGAGCAACCTACAGCCACCACCATTACTTGTCCAGTGCTCCCCTCCAGAGGTAGGACACTACCTTGGGGGTTTCAGCAAACTCTTAAACACAAATGACTTTAAGGTTTTGCTGTGTTAGAGTATCAGTATGGGTTTGGTGGAATAGCAGGATGAAGTGTAAATGATGTTTGGAAAATATAGTGACGTTAAGATCTTTATTGCCCTGGTTTTGTCCCTGGGATAACACATGTTCCTCTATCACTGGATGCAGTCAGACACAGGTAGGAGCAGGCAGCTCATGGGGAGTGGTGTTGGTGGTAGGAAAGGAGCCTCTGCTATCAGTGCTGGGCCTGGAACCAGCTTGTGTGGCAGAGGAATTCACACTTCTGTTCCCTCACAGGTCCAGTGAACCTGTTTGCAGCTACTGCAGCCGTGAGATCCGAGACTGCCCTAAGATCATAATAGAGCATCTTAACATCTACTGCCATGAATACTGCTTCAGGGTAAAAACACCCCTTAACTACTGGTTGCCTTCTGTGTGCTGCTGTGAAATGGAGTGGTGGGGGTTGGAATCTGTCTGTTAACTTCTGTCCTCAGACTTTGAGTCATGTACATATAGTGTGTGTCAAATGCTTGCATCCACACTGGGACAAAAAAAGGCATGTTGTATTGGTTGTGTCCCCAAAAGTTTTACAGTTCCTCACACAACTGTGTACTAGAACAAGGAGAATTATCATCCTCTGAAGGAGCAGCAGCACCCCTTACCATTTTTCCTCATGCAGCTGACCTTGTGTGCTGCTTTGTGGCCTTTGTGCCCCAGCACAGGTCTTGCTGCATCTCAAACCTTGCAGGGTTTACAAGTTGGTGGAAATGGTGAGTGTGGGAGGAGGAAGCCTGCAGTGGAATTAGTCTGCCTTAGAGAAGTCAGGCCTGAGATGCCACTGCTTTGCCATCCTCACACCTTTATAAGGTGATATAGAGACCATTCCTCTGCCCCCTTGTGCTGTCATTTCTGCACAGTGCTTTGGTTACTGTCTGACCACCTGCTTTTCCTTTTGGCAGTGTGGAATTTGCCACAGAGCAATGGGAGATCTTCTGGATAAAATATTCATCCACAGGGACATTGTCCACTGTGACAAGTGCTATGAGAAGCTCTTCTAGGTGAGTGCCTTGTGCAGTGTCAGCATACACGGCTGGATGAGCAAGCTCGTGGAGTTCTCTGACTGAAGAGCATTTAACTCCTACAGTTACTGAGTGACCCATACAGGGATTTTCCTGTGGCTTTTCAATGGGAAGCAGTGACTGCTGTTACAGAGTTAGCTGGAAACATGGTAGATCTGATCCAGGGGCCTTAGTTTCTCAGGGATCTCCAGACATCATGTAGTAAACAGGCTGTGTTAGGTTCATGTGGGGAGACAAGCAGAGAGAAGGCTCCAGTGATGAGAGAGATGTTCCTCAGAGATGGAGGGTCCTCTCAGAAGGTAATAAGAGGTTCCTCCTCCATCCTGAGCTAACCTGGAGCAGGCTGGGTGCTTTTTGCAGCCAGAACATTCCTCCAGCAAGAAGGCAGCACCAGATGCAGTTACTCCTTTACATAAAAATCCTTTGAGATGAAACTCACTGGGAAAACCAGAGTTGTATGCTCTGCTGACAGATCAGCAAGGGAGTAGGTGGGATGTAGGTTTGCTTACCTGTATGGGGCAGGAGCCAACACAGTAGCAACCAGAAATGCTACTGCTGTACTGGGGTTGTAAAAGAGGCTTTGTGGTGGAGAGGAGTAAGAGGGGCTTCTACCTCACTGTATGTGCAGTGGCTTTGTTTGCCTCTTACTGCAGTGACCAGCCAGCCCTTTTCATCCTGCTCCACTGCCCTCTCTAATGCAGTGTTGTGTGTGGTACTCAGCTCCTGTCCTCACCTGCTCTTTGTGTGCTTGCAGGGTTTTGCACTGCTGGAGAAGGCAGCCAGTGGGAAGGCCTCAGCAGCACCTATCAGAATGTATCTAGCAGTTCCTGACTGGCTAAGAGCAGAATTCCTGCTCCCCCCTTTCCTCAAGTTATTTTCCCTCTCGCTGCCTCGTCATGATGAAGAGTTTCACATCCACTGCAGCTGCACCAGGACAAGTGCTGATGCGAATGAGATAAGGCAGTGCCACCTGCAGAGATAAGTGGGCTGATATTCCAAAGGTGCTGAGCCCCTCTGCCTGTTTTAACTCCATTAGGATTGCAGAGTGCTCCCTGTGCTGGAAGCTGGGCAGAGCTCCTTATGTCTGTCCAAGCTAATCATGGGAAACCTTTCCTGATTCTGTTTTCCTTTCATTTCTGCAACCAGGCTTGCAGCTTGGTGTGTGTGAGCTGCCACGAAGCAAGATACGGGAGGTGTTAAACACTAAATTTGGGTTCTTCGGAGGGTTTGAATTTAGTTTTGAGCAAAAGCCTATTTTTATGCTCTCACCCCCAAATTCTGCCTAGAAATAGCTTCTGCCTCATTCCCATTTGCTTTCCATGGGCTTTCAGGAGCACTTTGTAGACTCACTTTAATTGTGTGTCAGCTTTAATTTCCCTTTCCTGCCTACTCCCCAGTGGAATGCTGCAGCAGCATGTGTCCCTGCTGCGTGGTTGGGAAGATAACACTCTTTCACCTGGTAGTTTAACTTGTCCTCTGGTGGTCGGAGTCAAAATTGAACTTCTAGCAGATGCTGTGCTCATTAGAGCCAGAATCATGTCATTTTAGCCCTTAGTTCAGAAGCTGAGAGCTTGAGAAAGGTGAATAATGAAACCTTGTTGATCTCCATGCCTTACAAGTACAGCCCCAAATGTGGCCAGAGAGTTTGTGTTTTCTCTTTGAAAGCATCAGGAGTGTCTGTAGAGCACTTGAGTCAGTTCTGTAGCAGCTCTCACATGGAAATAGGTGATGGCAAAAGCTCTAGTCTAGACTCTTGTTTGCTGAATAATTCTCAGTGAGGGAAGCTGGCATGGATGCAACAGCTTAGTGAGTGAGGGGCTCACAGCACAAATGCCACTTTGCTTTTCTAGGTTATTTAACTGAGCTATAGGCACGACCTCAGGAGCAACTCCATGAGGGAACTCCAGCTGAAAGCAGTAACAGCTCCAGGTTGAGACCTTAAAGCCATGTCCTAGAAAAGGGGCATTGGGCAGCTCCAGTTGGAGCTGGAGCAGCAGGAACAACTCAGGAGGCACCAAGGTGGGGTTTTCAAAACAGACTACTGATTTTGGTGAAGTTTCTTTAAGTTATCAAGGTGTTACAGAGATAGTTCTGAACAGAAGGCGGTCACGGAGCGTATCGTCTCCCCAAGTCACTCCTTGCTGGGACTTGTACCACCAGTGGGCAATGATGGCTACAGCAGCTGTTCTGTGTTTCAAGGGGGATTGTTTAAAGCACAAGATCAGATGGGCCTGTGACTACAGCTGCACTTGAGGCGGTATCTACAGCAATAACGTATTTGCTGGCTCCAGAGCTCCTGATGGGTACGTGGCCTTGCAGGGAAGAGGATCTGCCCGCTGTGTGTTTAGCACCATCTCTCCTCAGCACTGTTTCCCTGTAGCAATGGCTTCACCTCGGTATACAGCTCCAATAAACAGCCTTTGCTCACGTGCATCTTTGTCTGCTGTGTCGCTGCGTAACACCTGCCTGCCCCTGCCCTTTGATCCAACCCTTTGTGTTGTTTTCCAGTGAAAAATTCCTCAGCTTCCCCAGTACCTGGACAAGAAACCTGGAGAGGGGCTTTCGGCAAGGACAGGCCAAGGGGAATGGCTTTAACCTGGCAGAGGGCAGACTGAGATGAGCTCTTAGGCAGAAGCTCTTCCCTGTGAGGGTGCTGAGGCGCTGGCACAGGGTGCCCAGAGAAGCTGTGGCTGCCCCATCCCTGGCAGTGCTCAAGGCCGGGTTGGACACAGGGGCTTGGAGCAAACTGCTCTAGTGGAAGGTGTCCCTAATGTCACCCCATGGCTCCATGACTGTACATAACGGGTGGGCGATGCTAGCGGCTGGACAGAGCCGTGTCCGAGCCCAGCCGAGCCGGCGGCACAGCGCTGTGTGAGCGCGGGCAGCCCCCTGCCTCCTGCGGGCTCCGACCAGGACCCGGGGCCGCGGCCCTGAGGCGGCGGCGGCGCAGGCGCAGATCCGCGCCCTCCCCTCACAGAGGGGGCGGGCCCCGAGTGCGCGCGCGGCGCGTCCCTCCCGCCGTTTGCGAGCGGGGCGCGCGGCGGCGCCGGAGAAAGGCGGAGCGGGAGCGGCGGGCACCGAGCACCGGCGGCAGGTACCGGGGGGGGGGGGGAGATGGGCACAGCGGGGCCGCAGCACTCGGACCGGACCGGACCGGCCGAGCCCCACGTTAGGGTCGCGCCCTCGCCCCTCACGGCCCCGCGCCTCCCGCAGGGCCCCGTCGCCGCCGCCTCTCGCCGCACCCGGTGCTGCCTGCGACCCTCTCCCCGCCCTTACCCTCCTCCTCCTCCTCTCGGTGCCTCCCTCGGAGAGGCCGTGCCCGCGCACCGGGAGCTGTCCACGCTGCGGGGCTCCCGGCCGGGACCCTCCTCCCGGAGCGGGGCCGGGGCCGGGGCCGTTACCTGCGGGCTGGGAGGGGGTGGTGTCCGTTGCCCCGCTCCCCGGCCTCATCCTGCCCTCTGTGGTGAGGGGATCCCGTTAACCCTCGTTAGAAACCCGGATGTCTTGATGGGAAACTCCGAATGATTGTCTCCGGCACAGCAAGGGCTTCAGATGGGGCCGCCTCTTCCCTTCCCTTCTCTTTCCCCCGCCTTTTGAGCCCTGTATACAATGAAATCAAGTTTTTCAGATGCACATTTTGCCCTCCTGCATCCCTGCTCCTTTATTTAGGCTTACTGGTCGTGGGAAAAAGCGGAATGGTTTTAATCTGTTTATTCCCTGTCTGTGAATGAAAAAGGAGGTTTTGCTGCTCCTCAGCCTTAGAGGGGAAGGGATTTGTTGGGTGACAGATCTCGTTGCTCCCCCCTTGGGCTGTGGTGTTTTGCTTTGACAGTAGGACGCTTAAACTCCCCACTGGTGCATCCTCAGCAAGTTCCTGAGCAGGAGCTTTGAGCTGCCTTTGGGAATCCTCCGTGTTCCTTTGGACATCATCCATGCTTCGTTACTCATGGAGAGAGCGGGTGATGCCACAAGGAGGTTTTCCAAGTGGACGTATGAGTAGGAATCTGATTTTCTGGGAGCCCCACGTTAAATTTCTCATTCCCAGGTCAAAACGACTTCAGGAATGCTCCTTAGAGGCGTCATTTTGAGAGTGGTGTTCAAAGCGCACTGCAGTCAGCTCTTCACAGGAGCTGTTTGTCTTCATTACTAATTCAAATGTAAGCCTGAAACTTTCATCTTTTCTGTACAGGACCTAAATAAAACCACCAACTGACAAGTTAAAAACCCAAAACAAAATGTGTTTTGTAGGAAACACACTCAGGTGCTGCAGTTACAAGTGATTGAAGTAACAGCGAGATGCTGAGGGGGTGTTGGTGTATTTTTAACCTTGCTGGCTTCGTGCCCTTTGTGTGACACTGAATTTTTGTGTTTTCCTCTCACCTGCTGGCAGTTAGGCCTTGAAAACAGGGGAAACTTTGAGGCAACAAATGGAGGGGGAAGAACATCTATAGCCACAGAAAACCAGGGTCCAAGTGAAATTGTGATGTCTGCATCACATCTTCTATTAAACTTCAGCGTGGTTGTTTCTGACTTTCCTCATCTGTCCGTCTGTTTGCTCTCCTTCTCTGAAATAGGATTTATATTTTTGAAGGGACTCCCTTTTACTCCTTCTGTGGAGCATTAATCTTGTATTAGGGGCTCTTCAGTGAAGAGTCAGTTCAGAAATGAATCCCATGTTGAAATGGAAAACTCATGTAAATCACTAGTGCAGGGGAAAACCAGTGTTTGCTTCTTATCTGTAAGTGGTGGAAAGCTGGTTGTTAAATGCATGTGAATTTTTGGGAAGCCTGGAAACTTGGGCAGTGTAAAGCTGCCAGAGTGATGGTGCTCTGCTGCTATTCACCCTGGTCGGCAGCCACAGGGTGAACAGTAGCATTTAACAAACAAAACCAAGTAGAAGGCTTTGGTTTATGAAACTTACTGCAATATGTCATCTATGGTGGGGTGTATTTATCTCTCTTTTTGTTCTGGTTTTTGCTATGTTGGCCTCAAAGAGCTTGCCTCTCCCTTTGCACTTGTAACTGGAAAAGATGCTAGTTAAGACACAAATAATGCTTATTTTCACCTCCCACTGTAACTGTGGTTCTTGTCATTAGTCTTTGCTGTGAGTTGATCCAGAAACCTTCTCCAGTCCCTTTTCTGCTTTTCCAGGGTAAACCTGGTAATGAACAAAGGATGTTTTTAGCATTTTCTTCGTGCTGTCCTTGCCTGACGTCAGCACCTGCTAATGATGTTTCCTGGCTTTGCTCAGGCAGTGCTTTTCTCACATATTTTGTTAGTAAACAGATGGAAACTGTGATTAAATCAGCTTCCTTTTATACAGCCACTTTGTAGCACAAGTCACACATCCTCACTGTTTCAAATGAGTATTCTGTGTTTGTTGAAAAGTTTCCTATTAATTTCAGTTGTTATCTTTCAATAGGTTTTGTTTAAATGTCCTTGTACCCAATGTAATTGTGTTTATAAAAATGAGATTTTGGGGGGTTTAATGCCAGTTGGCTTAAAAATACGGTGCATCTTCATGGAGCTTTTAGATGTTTCTCATGTCTTGCAGTGCCACTGTGTGTTTTGGATGATGGTGGTGCCTGGAAATGTGCCGGTCATACAGCAGGATCATGCTTTCGAGCCAGCCTTAGGACGAGACTCCATGGAGAACTCAGCCATGGGCCCTGCCACGGCACCGGCACCCCAGGAGGTGGGTGCGGAGCTGGCGGAGGTGCGGAAGCTGAGGGAGCTGGTGAGGAGGCTGGAGATAGAGAACCAGCACCCCAGGACCAAGAGCAGCAGGAGTGTGCTTGGGACAGTGCAGAGTGAGCTCCATACTGTTGTGGATAACCATGGCTCTGGTCTTAATGGGATGGAGATTAATAACAGCATCAATGCCATCACCGAGAAGCAGGAATTGCAAATCATGGCGGATCTGCGCAGCCAACTAAGCAAGATAAGGAAAGAGGCAGGAGATAACAACTGCTTCACAAAAGATATAGATGCCCAAATGCAGTATAGTAGCAGCAGTGCCACTGAGGAATTGTCTTCCAGCGTGTGTAAGGTGGAAGTGAAGGATGATGGTGACATGAGGTGTTCCTCACGTACAGCCACGAGTGATAGTACAGAGCTGATGGGAAACGTGGTCCTTGCTGGTATTGATTCCTCAGTTAAAACAAACGAACAAAATCCCAGTCAGAAATGCAGAGAATCAGAAAGTCTGTCCAATGACATGGATCTGGATGAAGTCAAAGTGTTAGAACTTGAAAACTGCAACGAAGAAGAAGACTGCTGGTAGGTATTTCAAACCCTCAGTGATATCTGGAACTCCTGCTGCAGTTGGGAGTTTGGTTTTAGGTGTGCAGTGATTTTTAAGGATATAAAGTGATTTCTATACAGTGCTTCGGTTGCTAGCAGCAGGAATGTGGTTCCTGTTATTGACTGGTCTTATTTTTAAGACCATTTTGCCAGAGCATTATTATTATTTCTTGAATCAGTTGAAGGCTTTGTCTTTCCCCCTTTCTTCCTGACACTGCTGTAGCAAGCACAGAAAACTTCCCTTCCCTTCCCTGCCGGTTTTTGTGTAACACATGCAGGTAAATGTATAATTTAGTTTTTAAACTTTAAATACGTTATTTAATAGTTATGTACAAATGAGAGTGTTGTAAAATGCAAAGTGAGACCTCAGGCTGCCTGGAATTTGTGGCTTTTGCTGGTATCTAAGACAACAAACAATTTTCATTTCCTGAATACCGTTTCTTCACAGTTAACCTGTTTCTTTTGTTTGGAGACATGAAGTGAAACAGATCAGTGATGTAATCCTCAGCCAAGCTCACTGTGTAGGCCTCTCTGCTTCACCAGCCTTGTTTAGAACTTCTTGTATAAATCAGCAGATTAATTTCCCTTTGCCCTTCCAAAGCTAGGTAAAGTTTGAGGCTAATTCCAACTCATGCAGTAGCTGCGACTTGAAATTTCAGCCGATGTAAGTGAAGGTAAACTTTTGTTAATGGAATGGAGCTCACTCGGCTCAAGTCTAAATTTGAGGTTATATTAAAAACATGATTGTTGGTTGTTTTTTTCTTTGCAAGCTTTCTTTTAAAACCTATATAATGGTTCTAACTCAATCACTGAAACTCCTTAGGATACCTAAACAGCATTTGGAGCAGATCTCTTTAAAAAGAATATATTTAACCAGTTAAATTTGGAAGACAGGCTTCATTACTTCTGTGTTAATGAAAGCAATCAGTTTTATGTTCATTTTCATGAGATTCTTCAAATTGCATTGATTGGGTGAAGGAACCAGAGGGAGTCTGAGATCACGTGGGCAATGGATGGTGTTGGTGCCATCAAGACTGATTCTGCTCCCAGCAGCTGTGTCTTCACCTTCCCTTGAGCTGGTGACTCATGAGGTTGTTCTTTGCCAGGTGATCTTCTCACTAGACCATGATCTTCCTGTTGTTGATACCTCTGTTTTCTTGTCAGATTTGTCTCATACAGGCAAACATATTAAAAAGAGGTTCCCCAAGGAGCTGTGGTATTACAGAGCACTTGTGCAAGTACTATTGTCATAAATCATCTTTGATCATGTTGCATTGCTTCTGTCTGTTCAGTTAACAGCCTGGTCCTCTTGGTCTGCTGACCTTATCTTTAATATCACCTACTAGAGGGGGTGATGCTTTATACCTTAAAGAATAAAGAATTTAGTTTGTAGTCTTTAAAATATGAAGGTGTTTAAAACAGGGGATTGGGAGTGAGAAGCTTTCAAAAAATGAGGCTTTGGTTCTTAGATGTTCGTGTCATTCTAGTTCTAAGAACAGGTCCAAACTTCAGGGTGATTTCTGTGGTGATATTGTTCTTATGCATCATAACTTCTCATCAGGTTTGAAGCCTCTGGTGCAGTCTGCCCTTGGGCTGATGTGATAACAGCAAAGCCCATGGCCCCAGGAGGGGAAGGCGGAAGCACAAAGGCATGCGGCAGGGGGCTTATTTTGCAGGTGCAGACAGAGGCTTAGTTTCTGCGCTACTTTGAAATTATTAGGTTTATTTAGATCAAACTTGCACATGATTCTGTGCAGCTTCCCTCAGCTTCAGCAGGGTTTGTGTTTATAACAACAACCCTGCAGTCACTGAACTCGGAAACGTGAGGTGCCGCATCCCACGCTGCAGCTGTAACTCTCTACCTCCTTGGTGCCTCTCCTTTGACTTGCTTGCTTAGGTCCCTTTCTCAAATAGCTGTTCACAATTGTAAATATCCCCTAGACCTGATCAAGTGGAAGTCAGTGTTTTGTGCTGCTGGGTGAGCACAGCTCAGCCACATTCAGACTGGAGTGCTGCTCACTGCTAATGGGTGAGCTCCTTTAAGCTACATCTCAGTGCAGGTCAGCTCCAGAGTAGTTTGCAGAAAGGCTGTTCCCTGCACAGAAGGGATCAAACCAGCCGTGTTTGCAGGAGCCTGACCTTGTTTGTCTTCCTCGGTGATTGCCACTTGTAGGTGCTCCCCCAAAGAATTAAGTTGTGGTTTTCTCTGCTTTTAGTTTATTGTTTAGTGGTGAGGCACAGGCAAGGCTGCTCAGAGAAGCTGTGGCTGCCCCATCCCTGGCAGTGTTCAAGGCCAGGTTGGACACAGGGGCTTGGAGCAAGCTGCTCTAATGGAAGGTGTCCCTGCCCATGGCAGGGGTTGGAACTGGATAAGCTTTGAGGTCCCTTCAACCCAAACCACTCTATGAAAAGCAATTCACAAGGTCTTAGTTTCTCAGGCTGGTCACCTGATGAAAACCTTCCAGAGGTATTTTTAACTTGATATAGTCAACTGCTTGCTTAGTGAAAGGCTCGAGGTGTTGGCTCCTGCTCTTTTCCTTAGGGTGAGGTGTGAGCAGGGATATGCTTGGTCCCACTGCCAGAGCAGAGCGGGAAATCTTTTTCACACGCAGCTCAGCAGCCTTGTGCCATGTTCGTATAATGCAGCTCGTGAGTTGTCCCACAAGGTGCCTTTTGATCATCTTACAGACTATTGGCTGTGTCATGAGCTTAAGCTAATGTGTGTTTAGAGCTTCTGGGATTTAGTGCCTAGATTTGGGGATTTTGTTGAGCAGGATTAGTCACTAGATAGGCAGGAAAAGCAGCGCCTTTTCAGGGCTTTGCAGTATCATTTTATTCCTCTTTTCCCAGTTTCTGGGTAAGAAAGTCTCAGACCTCTACTTGGGCTAATACTGGAATGTCTTCGTGTGGAGTATTTTCCTCCTTTTTCCCTTAGCTTCTATCATTACAAGACCTGCCCAATGTTGTTTCACTGTTGTTCCACAACACTCTATTGTTGAGCTGTTCTGTTCAACAATAGTGTTTAGATTTGAGACTAGAACAACATAAAGCACAGAAAAAAATGTTAAAATCAACTTTCTCAAGTCTGATGTGTGAAGGAAAGGAAAATGGATGCATTACCTGTTTGAAATACACCTTTACAGAAGAATTTAGCTGCCTTCTGAGCACTTTCTGGAAGTATATCCTGTAAACCTAAATCGTTCTAAATATATTTAGCTACCTCCAATCTCTTTCTTCTTGCTCTGATGCATGTAGCTCACGTTTAGTGCTGTGGTAGCAACTTGTGCTAAGTGCTGTGGAAGGCATGTAATAAACCATCATGTCTTAAAAACTGCAGTTCAATTTACTCAGTTTAATGCCTTAATGCACGAGTTATAGAGCTTTCTGCAGCCTGAAGTCTCCTCTTAAGACCTATAGATTTACTAGTGCAAATATCTTATCTGATTAGGATCTTAACGTCTCAGGCAGTACAGGCTTGCACACTTACAACTCATCTGATGTGTCCTGAATTGTGAAGATGCTTTTTCTTCAATGCAGTGTGCAGGTTGGAAAGTTGTCATCATTGGTGCACAACTGGAACTACCTGGCACTTACCAGAGCTGCATTTCATAGCATTCTTGATATGGGAAAGTGAAACACTACTAAGCAGAAAGTAAAGATGTTTTATCTAAGGGTTTCCTCACAGAATCTGAAGAAAACCTCATTTATATTTAATCAGTTCCACAGCAAACCCCAGTACATCACATTTAGGATATATGCCCCTGATGTTTACTTTCTGAATTTTGTGCTAGGCTTTGTAACTACTCAGATAGGTTCTAAATTGTCATTTGCAATTTGAGCACAGAAAACATTCAAAGCATAACCTTTTGGCATTTAAACAGCGCACGCTTCACACCCCAGCTGCTGAGTTGAGGGAGCAAACTGCAGGGTAAAGCTTACTGAGGAATCAGGTATTTGTTAAAGCCAAAGGACTTTGGCTGACTGGTTAACTGACGGTTGTGTGCATGCTTCATGGCACGCCTGAGCATATTTGTACCAGAAACACTGCATACATGATGCCAGGGTACCTGAGAAGTTGGTACATTGAAGCCTTACCCAGAGCTTCTTGAAAAGGAAATTTACTAAGGCAGATGCTGTGGGATCAAAACCAGAATTCGCCTCTTGTTCAGTTAAGCTGTCAGTGCTCTGAGTTGAGCTTTCTTCCTTGAGTTTGGTGAAATCTCTTCCCTGTGAGGGTGGTGAGACACAGACACAGGGAACCCAGAGAAGCTGTGGCTGCCCCATCCCTGACAGTGTTCAAGGCCAGGTTGGATGGGGCTTGGAGCAAGGTGCTCTAGTGGAAGGTGTCCCTGCCCGTGGCAGGGGGTTGGAACTGGGTGAGCTTTAAGGTTCTTTCCAATCCAAACCAGTCTGTGATTGATCTTATGATTGTATGAAATTTAAGTGAGACCATCTCTTACCAATAGACTTGTCAGCTGGGAAATGAGAGTCCTCTGCCAGACTACAGTGGACTCCAACACCCTGTTCCATGTGGAAACAGTTCTGGCAATCAAACAAGTGTTACCATACGTCTGATTACATAGAAGCATGATTAGCGGTGTGGAAGGAGCTGGGTAGAGCTACTGCTTCCTGAAGTAGAGCAGGATTTCCTCCCTTAACCTAAAATACGTGAAGAACAACGTGATCTGCCCTAAGGAGGCCATTGGCCTCTTTTTTGTTTGATGGTTTTATTGTTGCTTTTTTTGTCTCAACTGTAAAGTAAATCCAGAGAGAGAGCAATTGGCTCTCTCTGATTTATTGGATCTGAGTGGCTGCAATGCTCATTTACCCATGCAGGAGCACAGCAAGACGTGCTTGTAGGGATAGTGCAGCTGCAGGAATAATAGTGTTCGTGTTTCTCAGCATTTATTTTGTCAATAGCAAATTAGCTTTTGGATTTTGGTATTTGCCTGTAAAGCTTGGTATGAAAAAGCTTCTTCGGGAGAGCAAAAGATGGGTCTGGCCAGGGGCAGGGATATTATTAGGATCTATGAACCCATGAGTAGCGTGTCAAGAGACAATGGGGAATAATGACCTTCCATCTGTACCCACCCCTCAAGAGCCAGACAAGAGGAATATAAGTGTAAAGAACAGGTGACATTTTCAGGGCAGGTGAATGGATGGAGGTGGTTCTTCACCCTGGACGCTGGGGCATGGCAGGACTTGCTGCAGTAGGGTGCTGTGGGTGCTAGAAGCAGGTAGGAAGTAAAAAATGGGCTTAGATGTAGATACTTCACTAAAAAATGTGATTTTGATAAGTGCTCCATCTGACACTCCCAGATTGCCAGGCTGAGGGAGTCCAGGACAGCGTTCTGCATCAGTATGGCTTTGGGATTGATTGTTTCTGTGCTTATCCTTACCTGGAGTCAGGACAGAAGGCAGGGTGATAGCTGAGATGGACATTTTGATGCCAGTATTTTAAATATCCCAGTTGTCTCTTTTACCTTGGCCAAACATGGATAGGCACCTGAGACCCCCATAGTATGTTTCTGTGCCTTTTAAACATGAGAGGTTTTAGAAAGTAATGGGATAATTATCTGTTGATTTGTATTGGTTTTGTTGTGGAAAGCTATGTTTTATGAATTGAATACAAGGTGCCTGAGTGAGAATGAGTAACTGGAGCAGAAAGACTTGATGTGTCTCACTGCAGGAGTGTCAAAAGTTATTGCTCAAGAGTGTAGGAGGCCAGTGAACCACATGCAGACTTTCCTTGAGGTCTTAAAACCATCCTCATCATCGTTTCATGCTCAGATACTAGAACTTACCTTCACACTGCCAGGTATGGGGCAGCCACAGCTTCTCTGGGCACCCTGTGCCAGCGCCTCAGCACCCTCACAGGGAAGAACTGCCTAATGTCTAATCTAAATCTTCCTCCCCTGTTTTTCATGTGGGTAACTTCTCTATTAACTCCTGTTAAATGCACTTTAGTAAATGCTGTTTCGTTGGCGGTATGCTTTGAGTTAATGGGCATTTTTTGCTGTCTCCTTTCCATCTTTGCAAAGGCTCTACGTATCCCCGAGGAAATCTGTGGATCAGAAAACAGCCTCACCTTTAAAATGGTGCCGGCAGGTGCTGGATAACCCCAGCCCCGAGACAGAGGTGGCCTGTCGGACTCTGCTGAGCAGACTTGATCAAGGTATGTAAGCTGGGACATTGCTGCCTCAAGTGTCTCTCATATCCACTTGTGTACTTGACATCCGTGAGAAGTGGTGAAGCAGAGGAGAACTGAAGGGTGCAGTTGCAGGGTGGAGAGTGTCTGCAGACACAGCACTTCACATACTGGCTCAGATTTGTGCATGTTTGTGCAGCCCTGTGTGGTGGTGTGTAGAAACCTCCCTGCTTTTGGTTACGCTGGTCATGCCTCGGCTATGAAGGTAGGAGATCAGTCTGTAAACAGCAACAAAATTGCACTGATGGCAAGGAACAGACCAAACAAGTGGAACTGTGGTCTTTCACCTCTATGTATTTGTTAAGAAGCAAATAGAGGCATTTCAATTTAACAGCCAGATTGACCACCTTGTTTTCTGCTTTTGATTATGTTCAGAGCCAAAACTCTAAAACATATTTTAGTGTTTGCTGGTTCTTGATATTATTTTTCAGTATTTAAACATCTTCAGTGTACAAATACGTAGAGGGAGTAATATGCTTCAGGGGAATGGGGGAGAGACTCACACAAAACTCTTATTGCAGCTTCTTCTCTATATCAAAAGTTCTGGTGGTAAGTGTTTCTAATAGTGATGATTCTTACAGTATCGTACCATTAGTAGCATTACCTGGTAATGTAGTTGTCTGCTGCTCAAAGCTTACAATCATAAAACATTAAAATCCCTAAGCTGAAGAAATGGAGTCACGTGGAAACCTAGTTTTAATTCCAGTTTTATCTTCCCCAACAAGCAGTTTGTGGTTGCTTTTAGCTGCATTACTTCACCACGGAAGGAAAATCCCGTAATCAATCTGCCTGAAATGAAATGCTACGGAGCCTTCTGTTCAGTAGTATTCTGGGGTTGTAGGTTTGTGCGTTTTCAGAGCACCAGATGATCAATACCACATTAGCCTTTCACTGATGTAAGAGCTTTTAGAATAGCTGCAGATGTTACTTCATTCCAAAACTGAGAAAGTTCTGTTTCTGCATACCTGTAGTATATCACCTGGAATCCATGTGCTGGATATCCTAACCACGTCTTTTCCAATGTACTCTGGGTTAGAATGGGAAATGGGCTGAATTGCTGGTAACCAAACCACTGAGGGGTTTGCAGTGAATAAGTAATCCTGCTCTATACTGTACAGCTTTCTGTAGCATACAGCTTTCCTCTGTAGGCAGCTGGCATTTACCCTGCAGCTGGAGGAGTGACCAGTTTTAGTATGTTCCTCTAAGAGCTCCTCACGGAAAATCATCACAGAGCAGGAGCTGTTGCACCTTCATCTGTCTGGTTTGACTCGCCAACATCTAAACACAAAAGTAGGGTTAGTGTTTGAAACAGTGCAGTTTCCAACAGAATTAATGGTGTGAAGTTCAGGGATGTTCTTAACTGCTGAAATCCAGTCCCCAGCTTGGTGCAGAAGTTGCTGTCTGCCTTGTTTGAACTGGCTTTGTCTTCTGTGTGAATGCAAGAATCCTGACTTCAGTTTGGGCAGTAATTTGACTTCAGGGATTTGAAGTCTGAGAGGATGCTGTTTTGTTGGGAGGGGTTTGGGTGGCTTTTCTCATTGTTTGGGTTATGATTTGTTGTTGGGTTTAAGTTTACATTCTTCCAGTGTTTTGGCAGTGCTTGTGGTCAGGCTTATTTTGAGTTTAGCCTTGAAATTCCTCATTTGAGATAACTGAATGTTGTTTGAGACCAAACTTCATTTACTTTCATAAACCATCTGCTCTGAAAAACTCGAATGAAGGTTCATTCCATTAACTCTTTGCTTTCTGCCTGAAATATATCAGCTTTTATTGTACGGCATCGCTCCAAACTCAAATAGTCTGACCTTATACTTGGCAGGGGGGAATAAACAACAAAACTTATTTATATAGTGAATCTTCATTGTTTTCTTAGCTACTGTTCTCTCAGTGGTAATGGCTTATGGGCAGTCCAGCAGCCCCTTGAATATATACAAGTTACAGATGAAGTCATTCCTTAGGTGCTCATTTCCCACTTCACAAGTGTGGATGCACTAATTCTGCTACCTGGCTTACTTTTGACTGTTTCACTAACTCATATATGAGTCTTTGTGCTGAATGAGGATTTCAGAATGGCTGTTTTACCATACTGATCTGCTCTCAGTTCAGTCCCAAGGCACAGCTTTGCAGTGTAACGCTGGTTTGAATCCATCAGGATAAAGTCAAAATAACAGATGTGTAAAGATATGCAGGTCAGTGGAGTTCTTGAGAGGGAAGATGGGTGTAGAAATGACAGATACCCATGAAAACAGCCATGTCTGAAGACCAGCCCTTTCAAAGCGTGTGGCTTGTTAAAGCCCAGTTTGTCAGCAGTTATTCCTGGAATTCTTCAGAAGTGACAGAACAAGTTAAAGGGGAGAGCAAGCAAGAGGCAGGCACCGCTTTGCTTCCTACAGTGGTAACCGACACTGTCAAAATGTCTCATTTGAAGTACATCTGTTCCAGTATTGAATCTTGTTTGATCTGTTGCCTTGCTTTATCTTATGCTCTTTGGTTTTCAAAATAACTTGATAACCTTGATGGCTTTTTTTGTATTTTTCCTTCTAGCCAGTAGATGGAAAAACCTGTATTGCAGTCCGCTGGCATCACCAAGCACCCATAATCTGAATACAGAGCCAGGCTCCTGTAGCAATGCACTAAACTCTCCCGGGCATCTCAAATCGACTAACAAAGCACTACTAACCTGTGGCAGCTCAGGTATGGCATGTCAATAGAGCAGTGCAAACCTCCAGTGTTTAAAATGCAAGGAGTTTTACTAACTGACACAGGGAAAAGTTACTAAGAGATGCAAGTTCACTCATGGCGATTTTCTCTTTTTATTTTGCTTGCTGACTGACCCAGGTCTCGTCTGTTTCATTAGAGAAAACCTCCTTGCATTCTAAATGTTTTGTATTTATTTCATGGTTTCTGTTTTTATAAATTTATATATTTATAAATTGTACTAATTTTAAGTGACTTCAGGTAGAAAACAGCTGGTGGGGCAAAGAAAATACTGCTCTTGAATAATGGTATCCTCTGTAGGTGTTAACTTTATGAAATTCCTTGGATTCAGTTTGCTGGCTTGAGAGTTTCTTTTGTAAATCCTGATTAGTGTAGGCAACAGAAAGGAGCCTTGTGCTTTAAGGTAAAAGGTGTAACCTCCAGGAGAAGCTTTTAGATAGGACAAGTGGGCAGGTGAACACAATATAACAGAAGTTTTGTCAGATATTATTGCGTTTGGAGTAAGATTTCCTACCTTAGAGGCCATTTCCACACAATTCCTGTTGGAAACCCATATTTGTAGGAATGATAATGAAGCTTCTGAGCCTCAAGTCTGCCTTTGCATATAAAGCTGCTGCCTAAGGAGTCCATGTGGGCTCTTCCAGGAGCCTCGTTTATCCTGGATGCAGGTTGTGCTCAGCTTCCGAGCACAAAGACTTTGCCCTTTGGCTTTATGATCAAAGGAATCTTCCTTGATTTCTTTCTTTGTTTATTTTCCTGGAAATTGCTATGTCCTAATTTGCATGTTTAAAAACATAAAGCATATTTAACGGTCCTGGCTTGAAGCTTGCTATTGGATGAGCCTCTATTTTAAGGATTAAAAAAGGGTTGATATGGATGTTTCCACAGGTGCAGGTATGCTCTTGAGAGCTGCTGGGTTTCTGCTGTAAATAGAAGTGAACACTGATCTCTGTTTGCAAACAAAGGCTGCATGTAGGGCTGCCAGCTTTGCAAGCTGGATTCTGCAGGGAAAAGTTTCTAAATCAATCTCGTTTTTAACATGAGGTTGGTTGGCGATCTAGATTCTACCCACCTTTTCACACAGAAACAGTAACTGATGTGTAAAACCAAAGTGTCTGTGGAACTTCTAAGGCTTCTTCATTCACCCTGCAAATCAAAGGCTGTCATGGGTGCCACATGAAAAGGCAGGTATAGAACAGGCTTTATCTAAATGGGATTATACATGAGAGTTCACTTTGCGTGTGTGGTGGCTTGTCCCTTGAGGAAGTGCTAACATGAGTTTAAAGTTCACCAGCAATTTGAGTGACTCAAATCTAATGTTATTTCTGAGAAGATTGGAGCTTCCCTACCCTGAAAACTCTTTAACAGTAACTGCCCTGAAAAACTAAACAAAGAGCCTGTGACAAAATCCAGATGTGAAGGTTCTGTAATGAAAATCACAGTCACCCCATCTTGCAGTGTTGAGCCCACAGCGCTTTTTACTCATGAAAGAATGTGAATGTTTTCCTTCTTCTTTCCTTGACCATTTTAAAACACACCTGCAGTTCAGAATGCAACAACCAAACTAACCACGTACAACTGAGTGGGAACTTCTTAAACAGCTGCATTCAGGATACAGCTGCATTAAAAATACAGCTTTTAGTATGGGAAAACTGCTTATTCCTTATCCTGCATCCCGCAGGTGCAGTCCCTACGCTCATGTTGCCTCCAATGTCTTTTCCTGACGACAGAAGGAAAAACAGGATTGTGTTGTACAGTTATAATACTGGAGGGTCTTGATTTGGAGTATGTATTTGTGCGGCACACATGTGCACAGACACAGTCCTTACACTACAGTCACACTTCTCTCGTGTTGCATCTTGAAGCTGGCTTTTGCAGATGAGGAGTTGGAGGCTTACTGGTACAAAGCAGTTTTCTCAATTTATTATTTATTTTACACATGGACTTTAAATGTGTCTTTTCCATGTCATCGGTTACTGCTCTTCAAAACTGGTTGAAGAAATAATATTGGGAAACTGCTGCTTTTTCCTGCCTGCCTGGAGTTGACCATTGTTCAAAGGGCTGCTCAGAAATGGCTTTTAGATGTTTTGCTGAGAGCAGGCAAAATGTTGTATTGCTGGCACCCTTGTTGAGAATTACTCCATCAATGTGCTGCCGTGAAGACCCCTCAGAACACAGCAGGCCAAGCCTGAAGCTGAAGCGGAAGTCTGTGGTGAATGACATCCCATGGATGCTCTGGGAGGCTGACTTCCACTCTGGATGTGTCTGCTGGTGTGCCTCAGCCTGCTTGTTGCTTTTTATTTAAGAGATGATATCAAATCCCTGCTTGAGCAGGATTTGTATCTCTTAAGCCTACTTTAGCTGAAAGTGATGTTAAGTGCTCTCAGGCTCTTGCATATCTACCTGCTTCATGCAATCTGCTGTCAGAGTGGGGGGTCTAAATCTATACACTACTAATTGCAAACTTGTCTTGGAATTAATTTAAGATAATGATGTATTTTCTCCTAAAATAGCTCTGTGAGTTACGTGGTCTGATGTGTCTGTGTCCAGGGGTTAGTTACACTGGGAGCATGTGGCATAGATGAGCGTATTTGCCATGTAGAGGTTTCACATTCACTGATCCTTCTGCTCTCCCAGAAATTTCTCTGGTCATTTTTTGTGTTTCCCTAGGGGGTGTTTTTCTGTTGTGTGAGGTTTGGGTTGGTTTGGTTGGGTTTTTTTTTTTAATACAAGTATGTATCTAGATCAATAGTTGCCCTTTTCTCAAAATAGGGAGAAATAATACTGATACTCTAATGGTTCTAAGCTCAAAATTACCTTCTCCACAGCTTGTTCCCTGCACAGGTACAACTCTGCCTCCTGAAAACTGCAGGTCAAAACACTGAGTGTTGTGTTCTCAGTTATTTCTAACTACTTAATTATTTCTAGCAACCATTCCTCAACTTCACAACTGCACTGGCTTTATTATCAGAATACCTGCTCTGCTGCTTGTTCTTGGTTTGTATGTGGATGTCTGAATGCTTTTTGTGCTCCTCTTCCCTCCTGAAGGTTATCTGAGCATGCACTCTGCACTGAGCTCTCAGTCATCTGTGGACAGCGAGCTGAGTACATCTGATGACTCCATCTCTATGGGATATAAACTGCAGGACTTGACTGATGTCCAGGTCATGGCACGCCTTCAGGAAGAAAGTGGGTGATGGCCATCTTCTTTGAGTGGTAGTTTTAGCACTGTAGAGATAACGTAGATGGATTCCAACTGGAGTTCTCTTCCCCTTTCCCTAACAACAAAAGAATAACTGAAAAGATCATTTCACACGTCTGTGATTTGCAGGGGCTTCCTTTAATATTGTACAGGCCCGAACTGCCACTGAAACTTAGCAATTGTAGAACATTCTCAAGATCACACCTCTTAAAGCAGAGGATAGTGTTGAAAGTATTATCCCACACCCCACTGTTAAATACATAAGCACTCTTTAATACTCAGAACTCCTTCATCCCATGTTGTCTCTGAAGTATAGGTGTCGTTTCATGAGAGACTGTTTCATTGTCATGGCAGTTCGAACAGCAGCAGCTCACAGTTCCCACCTGGTTGCAGCCCCCTCACTTGAGCAAACACAAGCAGGACATTCCCTGTGGATTGCTTTGGGAACTGATCCAGCTGAAATAATAACCCAGCAGTTTTTCTCCTTGTAAACGTGTGTTTTTCTGAGCAGTGGCTGCAGCCTGGAGCCCTGTTAGCAGCTGTCTGCAGGGCTGGGTTTTACAAGTTGTTTATGGCACAGAAGATGCATGTACTATTTCACCGCTCTACTGAGTAAACCCAGGAGTTCAGGAGTGCTAAACCTGAAGAGATGGAGTTACAGTTTAAGTTTTGCTCTGGTAAACCATTCAGAAGCAACTCGGTGGATTTAACTTAACAATGAAACAAGTTCATGTCCCAGTGGGGGGATTTTGGGGCCTGGATCCAATTCCCATTAAATCATTGGTAAACTTTGCATTGACTTCAGTGGGATTTGGATGAGTTCCTAATTGAAGGTGGAACAAAGTGGTTGGATCTGTTTTTCTGTGCAAATGAATCCTTAATTTGATTTACAGGAAATGGAGAATGAAGTTCTCTGGTTTGGAGAACATTCACTGACTTTAGAAATGTGCATTTATCCTTTTAAAACCACTATGATCTAAGAACCGGGCAAAAGACACAAGATCTGCAATCACTTTTTTGCAGCTCAGGAGAAGTTGTATTAAAGTGAATAAAGCAAATAACAGCCTTTTCCTTTCTAAACTTGAATATTTTCTTATGCTTTGTGATAAAAATCCTGTCACATTACAAAGGTTCCAGTGCAATATGAAAAGTGCTTCATCCTCGGAAAGATGGAAGCTTTTCATGTTGCATTGTGAAGGGAGAGGAGTGGGCAACACTTCCTTTATTTAATCCCTGCACTAGGAAGAGGCTTTTTCAGAGCTTTAAGTGGTGCCTTTCTCAAAAGCCCTTTCTGTCAGCTTGCTGAATTAGTTCTTGGTAGGAAATTGCTGGTATTTTGTTAGGCAAGAAGATGAACTAAAGGTGCAAGTGGGGGGGACCTGTAAATACACATGTGCACTGGAGGTGTCTGTAAGAATCGGCTGTGTTTTCCCTTGGACACAGGAGTTCAGATCTTTGTTTCAACCAGTTGAAATGTCGGTGGGTGAGTAATTAATTGAACTAAAACATTCATACTGTGAATTGAACTCCTCCATCTAGTTAACCTCACGATGCTCGTGTGGCAGTATCTAGTCCACAGTCACAGCTGCTTGTGTCTGTGACATAGGGAGTAATTCAGGTCAATTTGAATATTAGCTCTATTAACAGTGCAGATCTGGGTGACACTGTTCCACTTTAGGTGTTCCATAAGCTGTGAGTGTCTCCAGCGAAGCAAGTTCTTAACTTGACTCTCCCCCCAAGGTGAAATCACTAATAAAGGGTTGCTTCTGAATTGTGTTGCATCTGGGTAAGAGATTCCTATTTAAAACCTGCCTCTGATCCAGGTTGCCTCTGTCTCCAGGCCTCCGTCAGGATTGTGCCTCCAGCTCTGCATCTGTGTCCCGGCGCAGCTCCAGCGCCTCCCTTCACTCCCTGCGCAGAGGGACCTACAGCGACCAGGAGTTCGACACGTACAGCCTGGAGGATGAGGATGACTACGACTGCTCCCTGTCGTACCGCAGCGCGCACAGATACTCACCCTCTCCGCTCAGTTCACCCCGATGTCAGTCCCCTTCCTCCAGTGCAGATTACAGCAGGTCATCCACATCCCGGATCCGTCCCCCAAGGAGATCTGTGCAAAGTCCCATGCAGGACCGGCTCAAGTATGCCAACAGTGAGGGTAAGCTGGGGCTGAGCTTTGATGTGAGCCAGTGCAAGTAATTTTGACATACACGTTTCAAAAGAGCTGTTATTTAATGGAAACAAAGAATGAAGCAGGTCAAGGGAGGGTACTCTGCTCTTGTGAGACCACACTTGGAGTACTGTGTCCAGCTCTGGGGCAACAACACAAGAGGGACGTGGAGCTGTTGGAATGGTTCCAGAGGAGGCCACGGAGATGCTGCAAGGGCTGGAGCAGCTCTGCTCTGCAGGCAGGCTGAGAGAGCTGGGCTGGGTCAGCCTGGAGAAGAGAAGGCTCCTGAAGGGGAGACCTTAGAGCAGCTCCAAGTGCCTAAAGGGGCTACAGGAAACCCAGAGAGGGGCTTTGGACAAGGGCCTGTAAGGACAGGACAAGGGGAATGGCTTTAACCTGCCAGAGGGGAGACTGAGATGAGCTCTTAGGCAGAAGCTCTTCCCTGTGAGGGTGCTGAGGCGCTGGCACAGGGTGCCCAGAGAAGCTGTGGCTGCCCCATCCCTGGCAGTGTTCAAGGCCAGGTTGGACACAGGGGCTTGGAGCACCCTGCTCTAGTGGAAGGTGTCCCTGCCCGTGGCAGGGGGTTGGAATTGGATGAGCTTTAAGGTTCCTTCCAACACAAACCAGTCCGGGATTCTAGGATTAGTTATACACTAATGGTTAAAGGTTGGACCAGATGATCCTCGGGTTCCAATCCAGTGTTCTGTGATACTTGTCTGTTTTTAAGCATGTATGTTTTTCAAGAGAGGGCCTAACCCTTTACACATCCCCATTGCTACCAGAAGCAGCAACGGAGAATTTGCTCTTGGTTTCAGAGGAGATGAGGCACAGCATGCCCAACCTGGCCAGGACCAGCCTCCGCTCCTTGGAGTCTGTAAGGAGCAGTCGGAGCTTGGAGTCAGATCTGCAGGTGCCAAGCAGCCGAATTCCCAGAACCCAGCAGCGGTCAGCAGGTCGGTGTGAGGTGTTCTCTGTGCACCCCTGCAGCTGATTCCCCTCTGTCTGTCTAACTAACCCTAAGGACACCCTAAGAGGCCTGGTATCCTGAATTGTTCTTAAACTACCTTTGCCAACTGGGTTGTTCTTCCTTTTGTTGCTCTCTTCCTAGGTCTGGCTCCCAGTAAGCTCAGGTATTCCTCCAGTGCTGGGCAGTCTCCCTTGACAGTGCGACAGCCGATGAAGGCAGGGTCATGCACAAACTCTCTCCTCACACCCAGGCAGCCAGTGAAAGCCTGCAGTTACACAGGCCCTGTCAGTGGAGTTCGAAAGCCACAGGCATCTTCACAGCTCCACGCAGGCTCTTCCAGCAGCACTTGCACTACCAGAAGCAGCAACATGGTCACTGTGGCAAAAAACTCCCCCATCAAAGCCCGCACGTCTGTTGGGGGGATCTCGGTGCCCAAGAACAAGCCAACACCGCCATCCAGGAGGTAAGCATGAGGCTCCAAACCTCACAGACTTTAACATCTGCCTTTTGGTTCACACGTTAAACCACTTGGTTAAAAAGTTATGTTCATCTCCAATCTTAAAAGCATGACGTGGGTATGGAGTTGGGTCACAACTACTGACTAACTGTAGATGTGGGGTTGTGGCTGGAGAGCCTTTGAAGAAAGAGCAGTACTTAGCTGGGAGATGGACATTACAGGGTTGCAGTCCCCTTCTGTGGATGTCTTTGGGAACTGCCTGGCTGGGACTCAGCAGCTTCTGGGCGAGATGCCCCTTTTTACCACATCAGCAGTGACCAAACCACTCAGTATTTCAGTGTTCCATCTGCTTTAAAAAGTGTGTTATTAAAACCAAGCTGATTATCCCAGAAAGTGAAAAGCCCCAGGGTCAAACTTCTTTCTGTAAGAAATGAACATTATGGCACATACTTACTCAGTGGGAAGGGGAAAAACTTCCAAAAGACCAATAACTCTTTGCTGTTCATATAATAATCTTCCCAGATGACCTACTTTGGTGCTTCTTAATTTTGTTACTGGTAGAATAAGGTTACTGTGGTTTTTTGTCTTCTTTAGTCTTTGGTTAGGACTCCAGGTGAGTTTCTAAAGGGTTTGGAAAGTAGGACAAATTACCAAGGCTTGTCTGTAGAATGATTCTATATCCCTGCAGTAACTTTCTACAACAGGGGAAAGCAGAGCATAGAAAAGGGCTTCAGTAACTTACAATTCTTGTTCTTGTTTCATGAGTCTGAACTGATTTAGGGACCACATCTTAATCCAGAAAGGTGCGAGAGCGGGTTGGACTTTGCTTTTTGTGACATTTTATTTCTGGCTTTTACAGTTAGCTTCCTAAATACTTACACTGTGGATACCTGAAGCTTGTAGATAGTCTTAAAGAAGCAGGTGTTTAGTTAGAACCTATTAAATCCCTTTAAAGAATAAGGCCTCTAAGACATGTTAACGCATACCTGCATGCCTGCTTTGTGCACTGGAGCAAGCATGCTCATCCCATCATCCTGAGGCATCTGCTGTGCTTCACTGTGTGATAAATTGCCAAAAGCTGGGTTTTTACAGCTCTTTTTGGCACAGCTGTACCATGAACTTTTATGATTGAGGAAAATGAAGGTGATGTGGTATCAGGCTAATACACAGTAAGTGCTTGTTGATTTTTAATGTCCCATTGTAGCCTTCAATTGAAATGTATCTATTTAAAACCTCCCATCTGAATATTAATTTAAAATCAGTGTCTTTGCAGTAATACATTGACAAAACCTGGGTATTTTTCAGGTGTTCAGTTGTATTTGCAGGGAAAATACTTCTCCTGGACTCAGTCACAGGAAAAACCCTATAACAGTGTTAACAGCAGAGCAGGATAAATGTCACTTGATGTCCCTGCACTGCCTGGAACTGGTGCTGCTGCATCTGTTCCTCTGGCACATGTGAGGCTGCAGCAGGTTGCTGAAGGCCGCCAGATGTTAGCATCAGTAGATGTGAAGCCTCAAACAAGCATTCCCTGTGCTCAGCAGGTTTCTGGGATCTTCCTCCTTCTTGCAGCTGTTTGTTAGTGCCCTTTTCCCATTTGTCTCTCAACCCAGGTTTCTACAGTCAGCACAGACCACAGAGGACGATTCCTGGAAGGATGGGTGCTACTGACAACCCAACACCCCTGTGAAGCAGACCCCAGCTGGCTGGGCATGCAATGGAACTCCAGAGACCCATCACATTGCAGACTGATGTATATAGCTCCCCTCCTCTTGACACAGACTGTCCTCACCCTGTCACCTGCCGAGAGCCCGACCTCACAGCAGCAGAACAGACAACTCCTTTGCTGTGTTCCCACTGCTGTAAACGTTAACTGCAACACAAGTCTTCACAGGAAGACTGCAAATAGCCTTATCTCCTTCAAACCTCCACTGCAGCCCTTGGGAAGGTTTGTCACAGCAGCACTCTGGGACCTGCTCTGGAGGGTGCTGGCTTCAGCAGGCTGCTGGGGTCCGGGGCGCAGCTTGGAGCTGTCGCTGTGTTGTTCCACAGCATCAGCAGCAGCTCGGGGAGACTAGAACTAGGTATAGAGATGTTAGAAGTGACTTTCCAAACTCAGCCTCGTGTTCTCGACTCTGTCTGAAACTCACGTTTTTTGGTTCGATTTTTTGGTTTTTACTTCTGTATAGAATGTGTTCCTGCTCCTTTTTATTGTTTGTTCTAGAAGACAAAGCAGGGTTTTATAACTGTAGTAACACTTCAAGCTGTTGTGGTCAACGTGCGTCACCGTTCACAAGTGAAGGAGCAGTACACAATATTTGTGTGGGTTTGTGAACAGGCAGTTGCAGGGACAGAGGCTGCTCTTTAAAACCTGCTGTTCAGCAGCATCTGAACTCAGATGAAAAGTTGACTACCAGTTAAAAGTGAACTTCTTAACAATAACCCTCCCTGCCTGATCTGAATGGAAGTGTTTCCTCTTCCACCCAGCTCCCACCTGCCCTGGGTTTTGTAGCAGTTTTCTACTGTCTCTTTGGTTATGAAGGATTCTGTTCCAGTGTCTTCTTCCTCAGCAAGTGCTGGATGCTCTGAATGCAGTCTTAGTACAGGAAACATGCACTGATAGCAATGTTCTCCCTGCCATCAATGTGATTTTGATAGTGTAGTTTAATAAAACGTTATGGTGCTGAAATAGATCTGTTTTATTCAAACTGAGCCTGACTGTGGGCTGGTTTTGTGCTAGGAATGAGCAGCAGCTCCCAGCCTGCAGGAGTTGGCTTCTGCACTCCACCTCTAACTCTCTGCAGGGGTAAACAGGGCTCAGAGGAAGCCTCACATGCTGCAAGTGCTGATATTTACCTTTAATCTCCTTGGATTTCATCAGGATGAGGTGGGGGTAGCAAAGGAAAACTCCATTCACAGCCCTGGCTTCATGGGTTTCCTAGAAGAACATCCACAAGTGGCCCAAGCACAACAAAGTACGGGAAACACCGCTGGCAAAGAGGAAGCTTTACAGCAGCTCATTCTCAGAGCACAAACCCCTCTTTGCCACATGTGAGTGTCACAGACAACTGTACACCAATAGGTTTCTCCGTACCCCTGCTAAAGCTCTGCAGGTTTACAGCACTGCCCTGTTCAGGCTTCTCCTTTATGGAGAAGGTTCTTTTCCAGAACCCGGCCAGGTGGTAAAGCTGGAACCTCGGTCATAGGGAACTTACTTATTTACCTCCCCCCTGTACAGAACAAAGAGCAGCAGAGCTCAGGGGGTTGATCTTTCTGTTGAGTTCTCTTCTGTCTTACCTTTGGGCTACAGCCCCCATAAAGAGCAAACCAGCATTTCCCTGCAGGCTCCTGAGTTGAAACAGCTCCCGCTACTTAATGGCTACTGAACATCTATTTAATGCTAGATAAAGACCAAAATCTCCTTGGAAGAGTGCAGTGTTTAACTAATCTAAGGTTGTCTCCCAGCTGAAGTGCATCAGGCTGTGACACAGCTGCTCTGAAGAACCAAGGAACTGATGTCTACTGTCAGCAATACTGACCCTGTTACATATTTCTAGGCAGACCAGAGGCTTAAGAGGAGCAGCAAAGAGGTGAGCAGGGCCTCATTCTGCTTGGATTCACAGCCATTTAAAAGTCCCATATTCCCAGCTCCTGGAGAGCTGTCCCACTTCAGGTATTTATATTGTGTCCTCCTCCCCTCCACCCCATCCCAGCCTCAGCCTGGGGCACTCACACGTGCCCCAGGTTCACAACGTGGCTTCTTTCCACCACCAGACATCAGCCCCTGTCAGGTCAGAACGGGCTCAGGCACCTGCATCAACACAAGTCAGAATCCCCCTGGCACAGGGAGGTTTTCACAGCCACACTTCCAAGTGTGACCTCCCCAGGCAGCCCCACAGGTGATGCCCCCCCCCCGTTACTCAGTGGTTACACAGAGCAGTCCCTACGCTCAGTGCTGCACCCACCTTTCACGAAACTAAGGAAATGTGCTTTCTGTACAGGACTTTTATTGAAACCAAGTTACTTTAATTTTACACTAATGCCTCGGTGCATCCTTTAAAAGGGAAGGAAGGATTTGCTTTAAAAAGTATTTGTACAGAAGACAACAGATCATAGAAATGAACACGGGAACATCAACAACCCCTAGAACATGCAGAGCCCGCGCTGCGCTGTGCGGGGCAGGAGGAAGGAAATCTTGTCTCTAAGCTTCACATTGGATTCAGTTTCAGGAACAGACCCCAGTGCTGAGCAGAACCAGTGGCGCTTCCTGGGAATGGAGACCTGATAACCCTCAGTCAGGTTTCAGCCTCGTAGATGAATCCCATGTTAAGTGTACAAGCTGACAGGAGAACTCTCCTGGAGCTCTCCGGTCAGTGTGACAGGCCTCAAGGCAGCAGTTCCTCCTCGTGGTCACCCTGCCTGTGCCCAGCCTGTGTTGCAGGGCACCACGAACCCCACACCACCAACCCAGGGCTCAAGCTTCATCACCAAATCGAGCTTCCCCTTCCCCACCTCAACAACTTCCTCCCACCTCGAGAAGCCACTTTCCTGGGCCAGAAAGATGCAGCTTCCTTCATCACCCATCTGATGCTTCTGTGAGCTTTCAGTTCTGTTCCTTCCCCTGTGAGATCCAAGCCTTCAGCCCTGCAGCCCTAGCCCACGCAACAGCAGCTTTGGTCAGCTGGGCCAGGGCCCATGACTTGAGGGCTGGCTGGGGCAGAAATGCAACGCTCACAGCTGCCAACATCTGGCAGAGCAGCCCCTGTCCCCTGACAGCAGCACAGCAGCAGTGTACCTGGCCTGACATTTGGTTATTAGCCTTGGGTTTGGGTTTATTTTCTTCTCAGAGGAATACACGTTACTACATCCTCTGAGAGAGCTTTTCTTCCCCGGCCCCTACAGAAAGTCACCATCCATCAGCTCCAACCTCCTACCCTTCTCTGTCCTCACAGCGGTCGCCTGCAGAGCAGAAGCACAAGCAGCAGATACCTGGCACCTCATCCATCAGATCAGCAGATTGGCCCCCAGTTTCACCTGTGAGGGACATTAGTACTCGTTTTAGTCCACCCTCAAAAGAACAACAGGAGAAACAACATGTGAGAAAGCAGAGACATTATTGCAACCTTAACTATATGCAACTGCCTCCTTTACTGTATTGGTTTAGCACACACTAAGGGGGGGGGAGATGAGGAAGAAGTGAGGATGAAGAGGCAGCCATTGCCATTTCAAAAGGCTGAGGTGGTCCAGCACCCTCTCCTACCACCTGCACAAAGACCTCCAGGAAAAGGAAGGCTCCACACAGTGGCAGCAGCACCCACATCCTGCAGTGCCCAAAGCTGTTCTCGTTACTCCCACCATCACCCTCACAACCTCCACGTGCTAAAACACTCCAGAACCACGTGAGGCCAGATGTGCAGGGAGAGGCACCTGGATCTCTGATACTTGTAGGAAGTGGGAATTCACACACAACCTCTCCTTGTCCCTGCCCCATCAGGTGAGCTCCAAACCACCCCCAGCCCCATCCCTGCAGCCGGACAGTTGCCAGCAGTCCTGTTCTCCACTTGCACGCTCACAGGTAAGTGCAAAGCTACATGGACACGGGGTGAGCATGCACGTAACCCCCCGGAGCTGGACGCAGCACCCGCCCAGCTGGGGAGGTTGGAGTTGGGACAGGAAAAGAAACAAATAATAGTAATAATCCCTTCAAGTAATTGAAACCAGCCCATGCTTGAGGCTAACACTGCACTGGAGCAGTGACCAGCTAGGCCTGTTTGGGGTGATAAGGCAAAAACGTCTGAAGTCCTGGAGGGATGGAAGAATGAGGAGGCGTCAGTAGTGAAAGACTCAGTTATCCTGTAGGTTGCTTCTCCACACTCCTGTGATTCTCATCTCCAAGTGACCAGCACCAGCTGCCCCCAGTTACTTCTGCACACAGCTCGGCCAGGCAAGGCCCCCACAGACAGCCGAGAGGATGATGTAGATGATGACCTGGAGAGAGAAAACAGGCACTTCAGGCAAGAACTGCCCCTCCACAGCCACAGCCCAGTGCTGCTTCAGCCTGGCACCCAGCACTTAGAAAGCCAACATTAGCAAACCCCACCATCGCCATGCTGGGTTTACAGCTGAGACCCTGCCAGGCACAGAGCTGAGAACACAGCAACGTGCCGGGGGCATGTTCCACAGCTGAACCTGACTTCAGAGTTAAAGGTTATTGTGCTCCATACTTACAATTGATACTATGATGATGACGATGGTAAGCTTGAGGTTCTTCATACACATGGCTCTAGCAAGGTTCCTGCTGGTAGTTTTGAAAGTGACTGACTACAAGAGAAAGTAAAACAGCCCATTCATTCCTGAAGCTGCAGCCCAAGAACCACACGCTTTTCCCAGCTACTGTCTCCCTAATAACCCAAAGCAATCACCTCCTCCAGAGATCCCCAGGGGAAAGGCTTCCAAAGTGCACAGTGCTCTACTAGATAACATAATGCTCTGTGACTACATTAAGCTAGGGGGGGGAGAGGGGGTGTCAGTCTTTTCTCACTTTGAAACACCCCATGAACCTCCACAGTTTTTTCCAGGCTACTTCGGAGAACAATTTGGGTTTATTAGTGGTGGGGTTTTGTTTAAATCAGCTGCACCTCCCCTTTTGACACACTAGGCCAACTCTACAGGCTTCCAGTCTGTATGGATCAAGCTGACTTGAGTCCAGGCTGCAAGAGAAGGTTTCATTATGATCTTCAGCTTCCCTATTGCTTCCTATACAGGAGGGGCAGCTGCTCCTCAGGACTGGGGCAACTGAGTCACCCACAACTCCAAAGAAAACACAGGGTGTCCTCATTCCCTCATGGAGCAGCAGGGCTGGGGTGCAGCTTGTCAAACAGCTACCAGGAGTGGGGGGATAAGACACAACTTGTGTGTGACACAGGAAAGGATCTGTAGATATCTTATCATAGAATCCCAGACTGGTTTGGGTTGAAGAGACCTTAAAGCTCACCCAGTTCCAACCCCTGCCACAGGCAGGGACACCTTCCACTAGAGCAGCTTGCTCCAAGCCCCTGTGTCCAACCTGGCCTTGAACACTGCCAGGGATGGGGCAGCCACAGCTTCTCTGGGCACCCTGTGCCAGCGCCTCAGCACCCTCACAGGGAAGAGCTTCTGCCTAAGAGCTCATCTCCATCTCCCCTCTGGCAGGTTAAAGCCATTCCCCTTGGCCTGTCCCTACAGGCCACTGTCCAAAGCCCCTCTCCAAAGCGATGATGCTTCAGTCTCTTTAAAAGCAGCTCAAGATACTGATCATCACCCCCACTCCTCCCCAATGATGCACTGACACCATTCCCCATTTCTAAGTCCTTCCCCAGACTTACCGAATCCACAAGATTCTCTGTTTTATCGATGAGCAGCTCCAGTTTCTCTCCTCTTTGTGCCACAAGGTCTGGAGAAAGAGACAAAAATCCAAAGCTGCAGGTAGAATCCCAGTGGGAAATGCTGCATCCCACACCCCAGCTCTGCTGCCATCCTGGAGCTCTTGGCACAAAGCACTTCCCAGCTTTTTGGAGGCAGGAGTACTTAAGGAGCAGTTTCACAGCACATAGGCTATGTTTAGGGACTGACCTGACTCAATTTTGGTCAGTTCCAGACCTAAGACTCCATTTTAAGTGGTGAGACTTGTTAAAACCCAAACCAGAGTCTGCCACACACACACACACACAAAGGATATGGAAGCTACCAAGGAGCACCTTGAGCAGCTGCAGCAAAGCCTCATGACAAGCAGTCTGAATCCAGAGCACTCTTCACCCCACCACAGCCCGTGCAAGCTCATCTCAGCATGCTCCTCACACCCATCTGCCACCCTCAGCCATGGGCAAAGCAAGTAACAGAGCAAACTCCAGGCTCCCCCGGCTCCTTCTTCATCCATTCACTCTGCCAAGAGAAGCCACCCCACATGAGCTGCACTCTGGTAACTCCCTGCAGGGATCCTGGGAATGCCGGGCACTGAGGGAAGCGGGTACCTATGTTTCGGACCATGATTCCTTTGAGTTCATCGATCTGAGCTTGTGTCTCTGCCACCTGGTCAGTGTTCTTGCTCTCTGAGTGGTATTTCTGGAACAAAGGAGGAGTCGGTGAGCACAGGGACCCTCAGGACAGCCCAGGCAGGGATGTGCGGTTTCAAGTTATCAGAGACATCATCAACAGTAACAGCACCGAGTGCAACAGCTGCTTTGAACCTTCTCCTCAGAGTTCTGGTTCTTAGGCAAAGGGGCAGGACTGGCCTGCCACCAAGGCTGCCCACTGGTTGTACTGGAAGTGCAGCCTCCCTCTCCAGTGTTACCTGTGTGCTGGACTCGAGTTCTGCCCTGCCCTGATCTTCTCCTCCAGCCTCAGCCTCACACCAAATGTCTGCAGTCACAGGAATCACCTGTAACAGTCCTGCTCTTGCACTACATGCAGCATTGGATCAGTAGGGCTCTGGGTTCAGGAAGCTTTAGAGCCATTTGTGGCTGACATCACCTACATAGCTCCCATCTCCACGTATCAAAGCCTGGTGGAAAAGAAGAACTCGGTCCCACCCCAGACAGAAATTAGTCTGATTTATTATACACAGTGCCACACTGGC